CAAAACAAATGTGTGCCAGACAGATGTATGCGAGACGCTAAAGTTTTTTGCTTCCAGTGTTTTTTGTAAAAACATTGCTCTTGTCTGCGGCGGATCATAAGATATCGACGAATTTTGATTACATTAACATGTATGTAGTTGCGCATATGTGTTAGGAACAATAACAAAAAAATAAGGAAAAACAGGGGCACAGGATTCACAACAAGACCAATTTTATCTGACAGGCAGCGTTGTTGGCCGTGGCAGCGTTATTGATCTATTGCTGCAGGTGGCTGATAATGAATTGGCTGTCACCAGACCTGATAAAGGATGCTCGCCTTACGGCGGTCAAGGTATGACACCATGGTTATAATTATATCACATCTTTTGCTTGACTTTTAAAAATGGTAAGTTAAATAAATAAAGCTATTTATTTTTCGTGCACTTCGCGATTTTTAATGTTATAGACTATGCTGGTGATCTAGGAAAAGTCCGCGTGAATACGCTGGCTTATAGCCAACTTTGATAAATAAATCATCACAACCAAGGTCTAGTCCACAAAATACTCCAGCAAAATACAATAAGTTTTGAACTTTTGAGACATTTCCGTGGAATCATTCGACATTACCATAAATCATACTTATTTATGGTGCGGTTTTAATATAAATGAGATAATGAAACCGATTGATTTTAATGCGGAATGCAAACGTCTCAAATTATAGACAGTGTGGGTCGTTTGGCACATCTCCGACATTAACTCTGGACCGTTTAATGGTGACTGCATGTTTAATAACATGCGAGCGGAACATTGATATATTATAGGTGTATATGATATCGTTATAGTCGGGCGAAATAAGAAAAAGCTTCTCGGACAGTAAAAATATAGTAGTAAGTCTTGATAAGATTGTGCGGCCATATTATGCAGATGCAGGAAAAGCTTTATTAATGAGGAATACGAGTATTATGCTCCAGTTATAAATTATTTCAGCTATCGTGATAATTAAATCAGAAATTAATGAAATTATTTTATATGGTTGCCACTTTACAGCTCATTTAATTCGATCGATTAGTGTATGTTTTTTTCTATTCAAATAAAATTTTTCGAATAAATCTCAAAAAATATTGAAAATGTTTTACGAAAATTGAGTTCAGTATTCCCAGTTTAAATATTATCCTTGGAAATAATAATTCTTCAACAGAAACGAATTATCTCAAATGCATTAGCCTCAAAACGTCTGGTTTACGATTTTTGCAATGGTCCTCAAAGCACGTACGACTCATTTAGTAACTCTTAAAACTAGTTATGTTTTAAAAACAGAATATTAAAGTTTAATTTAGTAACAAAGTTTATAAACCATTTTTTATAACTGCTGAGTGTGGATTTCGTGCTCTCCGCATACATAAAATGTGGCAAAAATATTATCCGTTTATTTTTAAAATGTTGCTCCGTCAAAAGTCGTATACCGCGAATTTATAGTACATTTATTTACTGTCAAACCCATTATCTCAAGAAGTTGAAAGAATTTTTAACGCTGACAAACTAATGGAGACGTTGTTGGTAATACCTTGATTTCTTAAAGACGGTTCTTTGTTAATAAATTCCCTATAGGCATTTATTTTTAAGAAACTGCTCTTTGTATTCTGAATTTATAATCAAGACCGCTTAGGATTTGTTTACCGAACATTTTGTTCATATCTGCTCAGGATCAAGTAGGTAGCGATATTATCAATTAAATATGTATACTTAGATGACTTTATCACCTTTTGAATACGGAAAATTTTCAAAGATTTATCATTTAAGCACATTGTTTTTAAAATTTTCTATACAGGACGTTTGTGCAACAAACAAACAAATAAATCTTATCAAGCAAGAGATTCTGCGTCGATGCCGACGATAATATGCAAACAAACTGCATAAGAGCAGATTGATCTATTGCATTGCACAGAAAATAAAAGGTGAATGTACGATTGCGGAAACTGCAGGTGGAGGCCAAGCGGCGGATGACGAAACTGCGCCGCGCTGTTGTGGCTCCACACAACGTCGCGATTCAAATCAAACTTAACTATTTTCCGCATGACTAACAAATTAATTAATAGCACGTGGTGTCACGCCCACTTTATTACATATTATCGTCAAAACTGCATTGGCCTGTGTAGACATTATAATCATGTTTGCGGAAATAATATCAGTGGGTAGAATTTGGAGGCTAATAAATATACACCCAACTTGTTCACGACCATTTATAATAATCGTCGCTATTAAAACTTGCCATATTAGCTCACACTGGAGCTTAACCTTAAATATTATTTCCAAGACGAACGTTATACGTTAGAATAGGAATGAGATATTATACTGACATGTGGGTATTTATGTCAGAAATGGTATTTTACTGTTATAAGGATTGGATCTCCCGAGACCTTTATCCAAATTGAATCGGGAATCAGCCAGGCGGGTGTTACAAGCGTTACTGTCGTACGAAATTCGTACGTGTTCGCAGCGGAGTAGACACATACACATGTGTCAAGGTGAAAAGTTTCGCACATCACAAATAGGATTTACACGTATTACTTGTTATGACCCAAAGAAATCGTGAATAAACATTGTGCATAGATAACTATCGAGATTTACCGCAAAATGAAATATGTAAACACATCTATCGTAATATACAAACGCAAACGCAACCTCGTTATCAAATTCGGTGTCGAGAATTAAGATTAATATGGATCAGCGGAGATTATTATGTGTGTATCCGTGAGTATTATGTACACCCGGCTCGAATATGAGGCGCTTGCGGTTTAATACCGACACTAGAATCCTTTGAAGTTTTCGAATTAATGTTATCGACAAGCCCCAGGACAAAACAGAAGACAATTTCGCCACTAATACTACTGCTACGATATAACGAAGACAATAATATCATAGGGTGGCCAATTTGGCTGTAATTGTATTGTTTACATTGGACTGGCCAAGTTGTAGTTGTGATGATTGCATAGTTTTTTCCTAGACTAAACAAAAGCACAATGTGAAATTTATTGGACAACACAAATCTAATGTATGTGACATATTTTTGGAAACGAGGTACATTGATTACTTCAATTCATGTAAAAATTACTCTCTAACTTTAAAAGTCATTTAAAATATTAGTCAGGTCAACCAATATAATTAATCACTATGATATCTAAGTATAAAGTACTTTAATTCATAACTTAGATGATAGATTTTCATTGTAGATAAGGACCACCTGGCCACAGGCTGGCACGGAGCTAGATCCCATTCGGGTTATTTATTTTATTTATTAGTACATATACAATAAATATCGGTTGTCTAATATTTGTTGATTTATTGAGGTAAATAATATTAGATTTTAGCGAACAGCAGCAATACACATGTTACATCAGTTATGACGCAAAAAGTGTTTGTTTGCTAAAAACTGTTAAACGTATCAAGCAAGGTTTTACATCGTTTGAATTGTAATTATCTGCAAATAATCGTTATAAATTATATTAATATTTGTTTGTAATTACGCCGAGAACAACAATACCATAGCTAAGATAACGGTTAAGCATGTAAGTACGTAAATCTGTAAGATAACGCTACCGCTGATTTATAAGGATGAAAAAAATCATAAATTTGTCTCATGAATAATCACGAAAACCTAATCAAACACATTGTTATGCTACGGAGTGGAATTTTTCACCACTTACATAACATTTAGGCTTAGCATTTATTTCAAATAAACTAAACACCTACACATTTACTAATTAAATAATTATTTTTAGAGCTGTTAATGATTACCTTGTCAATCGAAATGTAAGTAATTAATACAAATAGGATGTCTTGGCATGAATTTGGCGCATTTGAACGTTGATAAGGTCATTACAAAATAAAAATTAGAAAAATTGTGGCACACGTGTAGCATTACTCAAAATAACCCTGAATATAGCACACCCAGTCCACAAACATCAACAATCGGACTTAGAGCATTAGGTCAAGGAAATCGGGTATCATGGTGCAGTGTAACACTTTTCCATTCTAATCCCATACTTCGAGAATGTCGTATGACCTGCATTATTCTCACATTGCATTGATTACCTTCATTTACTTTAATCTAAAAAGCCAGCGACTACGCGACGTGTCCTGGCGATTAGCGTCCTCAATGACCTTGGGCCTTTGACCTTCACTGAGTCTTCAATTCTCTAAGGTAAACTGCAGGGTCTGATGATGGAGCTGGAATGTGGCCATAGGAATAGGCTAGTTTCTTTAAAAAAGACTTTTGGTCCGTCAATTTTACATTATCAAAAAATATTGGACACAGGATATTTTTATTTGTCAATTAAACAAGTAATTACTAAGATATGATGCGATGAAATTCCGCGTGACGACACAAATCGCCACATTTTTAAGCATGCCTTGACGTCATGTGCCTCATCTTCTAATCACCAAAAGGTAGGACACCGACACCGACTCCGAAAATGGCTAATTTTGTAATGAGTATCCAAATTTTTAATAAGCTCTATAGAACAATTCAATACCACTTTATCTTATTNGCAAAACGTTCGGAATTTATCAAAAGTAAAATTTATGAATGAAAGTAATGTTCGATTGAAAAACGCAACGTGTCATTTAAAGATTAAAGAATTCCCAATCTATTCGTGCAAAAATCTTTTAAATTAACATAGCCGTTTTGGAGGAGTAGGGAATTTAAGTAAAAAATCGATGTCCCGTATTTATTTTTTTAATCCAAAACAAAGACACGTAGCGAAAATTCAAACGTCACAAATGTAGTCCTTGAACTGTTGTATAACATACATTTTTTTCAACTATTTCTGTCCAGCAGTAAAAGAGGAGTAGGCTTTACAAAATGCCCATTTAGCGCGGATTGAGGACACTAATCGCCTTAATAAGCTTCACTATCAACTAGGTACTGACACGTCAGTCAAACAATTAATGAATGCAGATTATCGCATTTATCCACGTTTAGGAATGATGTCACGTATTGTAAATACTGTTTTTTCTATACCTGTTTTTAAGCATATTGTCAGGGACGAACACGTTCCACCAGGAGGGACGCTTTTGGCGGACGTATGTCGTCGGTGTGTCGCTTTCCTCGTCGGTGTCGTTCCCTCCAGATTTTCGCCTCTTCTTGCGCTCGAGTTGCAGGCGGGCTGCCCACGAGCGCCTCCGCCCCTTGTCGCTCGGCCCGTAGCCCTCGGCTCCTCCTGGCACGGCCAAGGAGGCCCGACGGGGCATCTCCGGCGGGGGCTCATCAAAATCGGTCAGTTTTCTATATCGTTCAGCAAAAGTAGCGTCAGAGGCTCTGCGGCCATTCGAAGTGGATCGCGGTAGTTCATCGACTTCGACGAGGTCAGTGAAGGCCTCGTCGTCATCGGTATCGGGGAAGGCGGGCTCCTCGCTGTAGCGGCGCGGGGTCTCGTCGACGGCCTCCTGCAGGCTGGCGAGCGGCAGGCTGGGCCGGTGCATGCGCAGCCCGCGCGGCACGCGGCCCGGGCGCCCCTGGAGCCGCGCCAGCGCCAGCGGCACCGGCGACTCCGTCAACGTTGGCTCGCTTCCACTCATTGTTCGATTTCACTCGCACTTAACAGTTAACACTTCACACTGCGGAACCTGAATCACATTTCACGGCTCCAACATTTTCGACAGTCATGTTGAAAGCTTCGAGAACACTAAAAATACTGTCCGAGTACTTATATTGTTCTGAAGTTTCGTTCACTGCTGAATGCCTGTGTGGATAACAAATGGTTCTTTCAAAACGGAATTCGATGTTAATTCTAGTGTGGTATTACGGGTTCGTCGATATAACTATACGGTTTGTTTTCCTGCTGCATAAATAAAAGAGAAATATTTTCTGTTTTCCAGCGTTCTTTTTCCAAGAGCGAACATACAGACGCGAGCTCTGAATTAAAAAGCCCGAGGCACATCAAAAAGATAAAAGTAAACAGATGAGAAAACGCAGATGTTTAATTATGTTTTGCGAGACTTAATTTTATAGTTCCTTTAGCATTCGAATTATACATAAAGTTTTATAGCCTACTAGCGGCCGCCCGCGACTTCGTACGCGTGGACCCCGTTTTACCCTTAGGGGTGAAGTTTCGAGTTTTTTAGGGTTTACCCGGAAATTATTCAAACTTTTCTCGCTGTAAAAACCATCCTTGGACTTCAACAAACATTTAAAAAAAAGAATTGGTAAAATTGGTCCAGGCGTTGTTGAGTTATGCGCTTACCAACACATTTTGCGATTCATTTTTATATTATAGATTATTAATTAGGATGGCATGACATTTACGAGTACCTTGAAAGCACTTTGGCCTGACTGCCAAAAACTGCAGTTACTGCAGCTATGTGTCATGGTTCCGTGACCGAGAATTGTACATTGTATGCAGAATTGTAGACACTGAACCACATTACAATGTCAACCTATTGGACATAAACTAGTTTCTTTAAATTGCCGATTGGGGATGAACTATTATTATGTAGACATCTAATAAGATACGGGTTGGCAGGAAAAGCATTATCAAATAAATCAATAAGACAAGATAATTATAATCATTTTCATGCATCGCCGATAAAATTAAAAGAAAACTGGCATAACTAACTTCAATCCGGTCGGCCGGGTAGAAATAAATTGATATCATCTTGTTAAGGACAAACAAGCCATCTATAAATATTCACAGGAAACAATACTTTTCCCATCAGATCGCTGCGAATATTTATAGTGGCGGCTCCGGCGCTATGCCATATAAGCAGGTGGCTGCTGCAGCTTTCGTAACTGCAGTCTGCGATCGACTCACGCGCACCGCGCCAATGCGGAGAAAGTTGCCACCGTCTTGCATAAATAGCCTAGCCGTTTCTTACCGCGGTCGGTTTCATTATCGCCACGATGGCGCGACCTTTTCAATGGCTAATGCTCATGTACTTGGATCTGACCCAAGATACGGATTCAGCGGAAGCGTGCACATCCACTCCATTTTAATATCGCTCGTAAAACACCAACGTTACTGCCATGAGTACTTTGTTGACACTATTCCGCACTTCCTTCAGCTTGGCGTGGTCATCAAAATAATCAGCCGCGTCGTTAGACTCAATACATCAAGGTCGTCGCGTAATTGTGTTCATTAATTGACACTCATTCACTTTACAAATAACTTCGAGTTAGAATGCTAGTGCACAACAAACTGACAATACCTAAAACTTAATGCATACAAATACGGTGTAATCCGATCAACCTCTGCGGAAAGCTACATTTTGCAATTTATATCTGGGTCAAGCAACTGTAACGAAATATGCGTTAGGTACGCGCGAAGAATGACGGTGCAAAATCATTAACAACCCACACTAGCTGTAATTACCAACATTAAAATTATATCGTAATTACATTAACCGGCGTAAATTGTACGCAACATATGGAACAACGTTACAAATTTAGACAGCAATTTTATAACAATTATGAGAATTTAAAATTGCCTACGCAATTTTTCTTATATTCAACCCACAATTAACTGAGATAATCTAGAGCTGTATTATTAATCCATATTATGGCTTGCTCTACAACAAATCTTACAACTCTTACATTCCGTTACTAATGAACAATCGATACTATCTAACGTTAGTAACAATACTATTTGTTCAGGGATTGTTAGATGGAAGCAAAACATACGCGGGCTTAATTATTATGATTTGTGTACATCCGTTTAATTAAACTTTAGATATGATATGTATCGAAACTACAATAACAATTAAGTTCTATTTACCTTTCCAGCAGCATTTAAATGAGTTTTAATGAAGTAAATGAAAATGCTCTTCGCGTATCAAAATGTGTATAATTAATGAGAAAGTTAACCCACAAATGTCAATCAAGCCACGAGAAACGTCCGCCCAATGTCACCGAGAAGATTAACCTCTGGCCTCCGAGCTGACACCGCGACCCCCGCCAGTGTCTAATTACACCGCGACCCGGTGCTGATAACAACCGCACTAACTCTCCCCGAACCACTCCACATACGACACTCGGATTTATCGGCAACCATCAATCCTCCCCGCTCGAAACAACGATAAACATGACGTATCGCGACCCGCCGACGCATAAAACCTATCCGGCAAAAAGATAAAAGCACATCGAACTATCAAAACGTCTTTTCGACTTCTCAAACGGAACATCGCAATTCGAAAAGCCTTTTGATGTTTCACGACGTTTACATTCCGTTTGAAGTACCAACTCACGCTTGAAAATGTTATTTCTTTGATTAACGATTTACAAAGTTAAACATGAAACCTTTTTTGTAACTTGCTTACAGCCATGTGGAAAGATATAAAAGCTAAATTAGTTAATTGAACGATTCTTATGATTTTATCTGATTTTTAGCCAAATCGAGCGTGGCCACCTAATGGGCTGCATGAACTGCATCCAGGATAGTTTAACTAAATATCTTTTTATGAAACAAAAGATTTACATGTTTTATAATTAAAATTAATGGCTAACCAGAAAACGTAAGAGGAGACAAGTATATACCTATAAAATTTAAATTAATTTTGACCAAAATGACCTATTAGCATCAGCAAAAAGGGGCTCTTTACATGTCTCCTTATCTTATGACGTTGAAAAGTATGTATAGAATTAGAATAATGTAATTGAACGTCATACTCGTAGAATAAATTCATAGCAAATTGAGACGACATACTGAGACAGCGTCACTCGACCGGTTTAAATTAAAGTAAAACACACAAAGTAAAGCGCCACCTAATCACAGTAAAGAGTGATAACAATGCGTAGATATAAGCAAACAAATAACCACCAACTTTTAGGGTGGAACTAATAAGACCTTGGATACAAAGTCACAGCTATACACATGGAAAACATGTAGCTTCTAAATCATTACGCGGTTTTATGGTAATAACCTGAAATATGATAGAGCACGCACTAACGCTCGTAAATGTGTTAGCACCTTTACAGTGCTAGCGCCTTTGCTGTTATCGCACGTTCTGAGAGAAAACAAAATCATATTCAAACATTATTCTGGAACCTTCAGCTGCACGGCACTCAAGATTTAATTGGCGCATAATGAGTAACAATTAGTTTTAACATACAAGCTATTTAAAAGGACTATGTCATCAAAATTCGTATCACATTGAGGAAATAACAATTAAGAACGTGTCATCGCCAATGAAGGTTGATAAAAATTTACTTCTATAGCATGAAATTAAGTCACATTTTAGCAATTTAAACAATTCTTTCAGTATGATTGATCAATCAAATAGCAATTTAAACGCGGAAATATTTATAACGAAATCATACTTTTATTACTGATTTAGTCCCGATAAATGTCTGATTTCATCGTTTAAGGTACAAAAACATGGAGGCGAGATTTAATAGCCTGATAAGAGCAACTTCAAGAAACTTCCGAGTCGCAATGTTGCGCATCAAAAACACATCAAGACAAGTTTGATTCCATCGCGATTGCTTTTATTGCGTTTATTTAGTCAGAGGCACTAACCGTGTGAATTTCTTGAGCACGATTCCACAATCAACACTTTGTGATCTTCGGCAGAAAAAAATAGAAAATAGTTTAGCTAACACGAGGACGAAAATGTGTCATGTCATGTCTTACTCCGTTTTCGCTATTTACATAAAATATAAATTATACCTGAGACGGATGTTATTTGAAATTTATTCTGATTTATGTATTACAAACCCAATAATCATAGCATAATAAATTATTTTCAAATTGTATTTTTATTTTTCTTGAATTGGCAATTGTGAATATTCCATTTGAAATTCCTGGGAAATTCTTAAATAAATTGTTATATTCAAGTATGTATTAATTAGTATTTTAATGAGCTTGTTCTGGTGTCACGACACGCGATCTTCGGCACATTTGTTTACATTATAAGAGGGAATACATTATCGAGAGCGAGCGGAGAATACGTACAATAATATGGAGTCACAATAGATAGACATAATGATGGAAGGATTGGCGAGGCTGTCACAACAAAGCCATGAAGTGTAGACGCTCTCTACTACACGCAAACTGGTTCAATTTAGTATATTCTTTGACAGCTTATACTTATAAAAAGAAATGGAACTACATCAAAACAAAAGACAACTTCAATGCTTGAATTGAATCCACGTGACTGCGTAAGTAGAAACTAGTATACTCGCACGTGTCTTCTCTGCCTTCCTATGTTGTGTTGCTGTGCATCACAAACAACGCATATTTAATAAGGAGTAGCACTGGCACTACCCACCGCACACAGAATACTAATCACCCGCCAAAGATCAATACTCGGCCGCACAAAGACGTTAATAAAATAAATAATTCAATCTCATGAAACAAAGAAGAACAAGGAACTATTAAAATGTATGTTGATGAGTATAATTATTGTTCTCCACAAATAAACAATACAACAACGGAAAGAGCAAAAGCAGAAAAACGTATATTACTCTCATAAAAAATATGTCACCGAATAACCGTTTTCATGACGTTGAAATGATGACAAAACTGAAACATGACGAATTACCTACTTAACCTTATTGAAAATAACGGGAGTACCGTATTTGAGGTGAGTAATAAGGATACAAACGGGGGACGTTCCAGATATGATTCTACAATCATGATCACGAATTCTTGTGCTATCGTAGTGATAAAACAACTGGCCCTTAGGCGACTGACAAGACTCAATCGGAACCAACGGTATAAAGTGCCCTCCGTGGCAAGGAATAAAATTT